TCTCATCCAAACCCTGAGCCCTTTGGGGGTGCTGTCGGTTGGATCCTTTGGCTGAGGGGGATCCTTCAGGGAGGTTTGGCCTTTCCTGGGCTGTGAAGGACAAGAATGGCTCCAGCTGGGACAGGGAGGCCACTGGGCACAGTAAACGGGGTGACAAAAGCAGCACTTCCTCCCAGAGGGATTTTTCCCTCCTGTTGCCCTGGCCTGTTTGCCCCTCTTCAGCATCCTGAAGGGTGAATTCCCCTGAATCAATGGCATCACCAGGCCCCTTTGCCATGAAATCCCCTCTGCACCCATCCCCTCCCTAGCTGCAGGCAGGAACTCTCCCCTGGCAGCCGCTGTCCTCTGTCCCATCATGGACACGCAGCAGGAATTCCCTCCTGCTCTCGGCCTTGAGGGCATCTCCCCTCCTGCTTCCTCCAAAGGGGTCCCTCCAGGGTGGGCTGGGACAATGGCCCCATTTGGGGCATTTCCTGGGGTCTCACTTTCTCAGGATTCTCTGTCACCTCCCTCAGCTCTCATMCCCTCTGGTACCAGACACTTTTCCTCAAAGGAATTGACTTTTCTCTCCTTTCTGGTTCCTCTGCCCTCCAGCCCAGGCTGGAAAGAACACTGGCAGTTCTGCCAGCAGGAAAACTCCCAGTGAGGACCTTGGAGAGACTCAGGGAGCCACAGTTGTGGGTTCTGGCTCTGGGAGCATCCTGGGGTGGGTGCTGGTATTTGATGGGAGCCTTTCTGCTCACTGCAGCAGGGTGCAGCTCCCCAAGAGCTCCCCAAAGCTCCCCAAAGCTCCCCAAAGCCTTACCTGGCAGATCCAGGAGTTTCTGGAGCTCTGTTTTCAGCCGGCTGATTTCCTGGCAAAGCTGGATGTCATCCATCCTGCAGAGACACAAACGGAACCTCTGAGGGGGAAAACTGGGAGAGGAGGGGTTCAAAAAGATGTGACCACTGAGGGGAAACTGGGAGAGAAAATGTTCAAAAAGATGTGACCAGTGAGGGGTTGGGAAACTGGGAGAGGAGAAGTTCCAAAGCCCCAGAGCAACACCCAGCCAGTGCTGGAAGGAAAAGCACTCTGTGCCTGTGTGGGGATCCCAGATTTCCCTGCTTTCCCATGGGAAATGTCAGGCCAGTTCATCCCAGAGTTTTATTGGAGCCACACAGGTTGGGACTCTGGTTGTTGGCAGAGAAAAAGTTTTATTATCTTAATGATAAAACCTTATCAAAACCTGGCCCATCCACCAGACAAGAGCAGCTGTGCTTCTCCTGGTCTCAGAAAATATTTCTCAAGGAACAAAATCCAAAAATAAGTGGAAGCTGCTGCCATAGAAAAAGATCTTTTTTATCCCACCTTTCTGCAGGATTAAATAAAGAAAATTGAAATGTAACAGAGGGGATGTGCAGAGTTTTCACGTGCACAGCTGAGAAATAGGGTCACTTCAAGGGGACAAAAGGAACCTCCTCTGCTGGGTCCCAGCCAGTCCCGGGCTGATGTGGGAGCTGCTGCCCCAGAGGATGGGACTCCTGGGGACGGGAGTGGCTCAGAGCCCGACAATCCCAGCCCTGTCCC